TTTCGGTAAGAAAGAAAAAGCTGAGAATTGCTGGGTTCTTTGCATCGTTACCTTTTCTAACATATCTTTGCAATAAAAGACTAAAGCCATCAATACGCTGCGTTCAATTATAGAGAAAAATAGCACAGATACAGCGGGTGTTGAGTAAATAAAATGATCGCTCTATTGACGGCATGTTTGTTTTTTGCAATCCTTGTGCGCGCGCTGAATTGCATCAGCAAAAGTGCGCGCGAAAACTGTGTTCGGCCACCTTAAGCGCAAATTCTAACATACCTTGCAAATACAATTAGCAGAAAGACTAATCGCTGTAAGATCGCTGATAGCAACCTCAAAAAAAATTGCACTTTTTTTTTCAATCAGATTCGCCACCAGCAGGATCTCCGCTTTTATCATTGCCAGTGCCTTGTTGCTGGCCAGAAAGAACGAAGGCTCTGAAAATACGACCGCTCGCCTTGGGGTCTGCATTCTCGTTCCCAAGGCCTTCTGTCGTTGCTCTCCGGCTCCAAGATGGAGGCTTACTGCCGTCGACTCACATCTTAGAGGGTCCTTGGATAGCATGCAATAGACCCTCCCGGCAAGGGCTTTTCTTCTTTCTTCCTGTTCAGTTAAAACTAGACCTTGTATTTACGTAATCGAGGACAGGACTGGTTATGACTGTAGTTTGAACTATGGTATTTCCAAAAGTGGAGAAAATGTGGAGAGAATTTGAATTATGGAGAATTTTATTTGACTATCGTAACTTTTCAACGCCCACTAAATTAGCTTTGTAAACTGATCATCTTAGCAGAACAGCTAGCCCGCCCAACCTCTGTGAATCACTCACTGAAGATCACCCGGCCATGACGAGTGCTGCTATGTTTTTCCCGCCAAAATGACGCTCGNGCAATCCTTGTGCGCGCGCTGAATTGCATCAGCAAAAGTGCGCGCGAAAACTGTGTTCGGCCACCTTAACCCTTCTTGAGGCATTTGAAACCGCCGCACAGATAAACGAAGACCTAAAAAGAACGGAATTCGATGGTACATTTTGCAAACAAATTCAAACTTCTAATTGATAGATTTTCTTCACTTTTTTGCTAAACGTAGAAATCGGTAGAGAAAATGATCCATCAAAAGAAAAATAGGGGTCACCGAACGTCCAAAATCGTTAAATCCAGGCAAAGCTATAGCAATGACCATCTGCCCTATCACGGTTCGTTTTATTACTTAGCGCGCGCTCGATGCATGACGTGGCGTGTGAATTTGCGTGCGCAGTAAGGATGCGCAGAAACAACTAGCGCGAACGACCTTAAAACAACACTGGTGTAGCGCAAGTCAAAGTCTCAAATCCTGTTGGAGCCCTGCCTTCTGTAATTTACCTACTGAACATTTCGTGTATGGTTATGCAGGTTTTTTTTTTCAGCTATTCAAATTGTCTTCTTGCGAAACTTGATAATCCAAAACTATAGCAACGTGGCCTGCCTTCGGCTAGCTTCAATTTTCAATGCTAACTAGCCGAATATTTTCAATAGACTATTTCAAATCAGTTCCTATGTTTACTGTGGTCGGATGTACGTGGAAATTTCGGAAAGCACTTGTGAAGCTCGAATTGCTGTACGCTACGCCTGTGCTCACTGTGTTACCATGGATAGTAGAAATGTAGGCTACTATGTCCTTGTGAAGCGGAGTAAGGAATGGTTTGCTTGAAGTCTCTCCGTAATATTCTTCTCTAATCTTCATCGCGTGGACTACAGATTTATGTCGGAAAGAAGAGATGTTCCCAAAAATCTCACTTATCATCAGCTGCAGCAAAATACAATCAGAAGAATTTAGGCATGCAACGCAGCACAGTTCAGACCACTTTAACGTCAGTTCTTGCGCTTTTTCGAAATTCATTTAGATGTTGAGCAATATGTTGTTGTTTGCGTGACGAGCTGACAAGATCATCCCGAGCGAAGACTATCGTCCAAATGGTCACACCAACGTAGCGAAAAAATGACATGACGTTCTCGTCTCCTTTCTCCAATTCTGTTTTAAGTTTCTCAGCTTGTTGTTGTGTTTGTGCGAACCTGGATCCTCGTATTTTGGTCGTTTCACTGCTTGTCGCAGATATCTTGTTGAGAAATGTTATTACACTCGGTACGCACTCGGATGTAAAGAAATCGTCAAAACCGAGGGAAGAAAGCACTTTTCTCGTTTTCTTCTGGCGTTCAGATAATTTGGCTTTGAATTTTCTGGTAGGTTCCTTGCCACTGTATGAGTTTTCGTGTTTTTGCAACCACGCTTTCAGATGATACCGCTTTTTACACTTGCTGCATTTAAACGTACTGCCTTCATCTTCGCTCTCGCTTTCATCTTCGTCTTCACTGCCTTCTGCCTCTACCGCGTTCACCGCCCTCTCGTTGTCTTCTAAAAGTTTTGCTAAATCATTTTCATCCCACTCTTCAAAAAAATCTTCAATATCCATAGTTTGGTCCTGGTTTGGTCACTTACTGTGCAGTGTAAACAAAGTTGCTGCAAAAGTAAAATTTAGCTTGCGACAGTGACGTCATGAATTTCCACTGTGTTGGAACCGGTGACGCGAGCTAGTTTCCAATCCAGTCTCTTTACTATCCATGATGCTATGAATCTTGGGAAATTTAAAGTGACTGTCAAAGTCGTAATTGTTGACATTCTGTCTTTCTTTCTATCTACATTCTGTCTTTCGATGTCTGTGAAATGGAGCATTCTGTCTTTAGAAGTCACTCTAACAACAACAAAAAAAGGAGCAAGAGGATCTTTTCCCGGCTTGATTTTCTTTACTTAACACGGATGTTCTGATGGAAAACCTGTCAACTACGACAATCCAAACATTTTGGAGAGATTGCCGGACAATCTCTCCAAAATAAATAATAAGTTTTGAGAGGAATTCCCAGACCAGCTGAAATTCTTAACTGCGAATGAAAATGACACATCTCCCAAATTAGTTGAGTAGCTTTCAATTCCAGGAATAAAGAATATGTCCACAAATTTAGTGTAGTGTGTTCTAATTTTTAGCCTTATTAGTTTAGACTTGTCAGCACACTTAATTTTTTTTTCTCGGTCGGTTAATACTATAATTTCCCGGAGAAAAGTGTTAAGTAGGTAGCCGCATTTAACGATAAATAAAAATGATCACTCTCCTCAAACAGGAATTGCGTTTAAAAAAGGAAAAGCAGCTTTAATTAGGATCTTCTTAACTTACGTGATAATTGCTTTTAAGAATTTTTTACAGCGGGATGGTATAACTAGGTTTTAAAAAGTGTTTTTATTGAGTGTATTTTTTTTCTCCATTTAATTACATAAACACATATCTACATATGTCCGTCGGTATAGCTTTGAACTGAAGCCTATACTTCCTATACGATTACAATCAGCTTCGGAATCAACGAAATTCAAAGACCTTCCATTAAGCTAATCCACAGTGTTCTGAACAAATTTAACCGTGATAGGATAAGCATTGTTCTGACCTGATTGTATGGTGATATGTATTTAAATAATGGCACGTTTTTCAATTAGCTGTTAGGGATACAAAGTGGACCCGACTGCCGTCAGAGGTTGGTATAATTTACTTGTCTTTGTGACAGCCGACATTCCTTATTTACGCAGGCGATTTCCGCGGTACGACTAAATCAAGCCTTTCTTTCCGCTTTCAGGTTCATGGATGTCGATAAAATCTCTAACAATCAAATTTTCAACAAAAAAAAATGCCAAGTTAGTGCTTTGGATTTAAAAAACGGAAAGGAAGGACATGAATATATCAGAGAACACCAACACTACTGGAGGAATAGTTGATGAAGCAGCAAGGAACGCAACCTTGACGATTTTTGTTTTGACTTTTGTGTTCGGTTCTACAGGAAACCTACTCGTTCTTTTGGTTGTCGCCAAGAAACACACTCGGACAATCAACGATACGTTTATTGTGCATCTGGCGATTTCTGACCTGATTTTTATTTTCTTGTGTTTGCCAGTGTTTATTTACATGCAAGTGTCAGATTTCCTTGGATCGTTAGTGTATTGTAAGATTATCTGGCCCATGATGACTGTTTCGTTTTGCGCGGGGATTTTCACGGTGACCTTGATGGCGGTTCATCGCTGCAAAGCAATACTTCGTCCTTTCGACAGTACGCTTGAAAAGAGACAGCTGGTTCTGGGTTTTGGGGCAATATGGGTTCTTTCGTTTCTTGTAGCACTACCATTAATCATCGTCGCTGGAGTGGGACCCTCGGGTGCATGTCACGAAGATTGGCCGTCAAACGATCATAAGCGAGCCTACACCGCTGTATTAGCCGCACTCCAATACTTTGTTCCGCTCATAATCATCGCTGTGGCATACATCAGAATCGTTGGAGAACTTTTCCTCTCAAAGCGACGCAGTTCTTTTACTTCACCAGCAAGAACAGTCGAGGAAGCAAGGAAACAAGAAAACAAAAAGATTGCAAAAATTCTTACAACCATAGTTGTTTCGTTTGCCGTCTGCATGCTGCCCACCCATGTGGCATGGTTGTTAGTTGATTTTGGCGGCAAAAGCGAGCAGGATACAGCACAAGTTATTTTCAAGTTTTCCGACTTGTTGGCGGTGTTTCATAGTTGTTTAAACCCAGTGATTTATGGAACAGTAACTCGTCAGTTTCGCCAGGATTACCTCAGATATCTTTCTTTTCTTTTTTGTTGTAACAAGACAACCTATTTACCAAAAACGTGCCAAAAAGGTTGTTGTGTTTGCATGATCGATCACGAAAGGCAAAGGGCGGAGTACAATACATGCACTAGAAATGAGCACACTGCTAAAGATCCGCTGGAAATGAACTATCTAGGAACCATTCAGTCGATCAATCTCATCTCAGAAGTAGTCTAACTTTTATCTTTCACTCAGCAGCTTGTTTGATATTAGATTTAATGTGGTATTGTATTTTTTTTTTCAGTTCAGTGGATGAGGGTATGTAGGTCAGTAAAATGAATTTTAAAAAAACAGCTGCACTTCTATTGTTCAAATTACAACTCACTTGACTTAATGCATTGACAGAAGCGCTGTGTGAGGATTTTGTCCAATCAATTACTGACAAATGTTTTCAGCTCGCGAACGATTAATTTATTGAGTGATTTATCATAACCATGAATTTAACCATGAAAGAGCCTCCAAGTTTCTTGTTGACTGGCTTGTTTTGCCTTGGCTGGTTGTACAGTTCTGTGGCATTTCCCTTTCTCATTGGTAAAGATTCTTCACCATCCTAGGGAATTGGCGACCAAAACAGCTATATGTAAAATAAAGGCACCCTGTTCAACGTACTTGAAGAGATCAAGTGTGGTCCTCTGCCCCTCCTAACTTGAAGTGGTTGATATCTATATCATTGTGATCCAAAAGATGTAACGTTTAGGCCTGCTTTGGTTTCTTTGTTGGTTTTTGTTGTGCTTCCATAGTACCTTAATTCAAATTTATTAGGTAAACGTAACAGAAGTGATATTTTTCTAGAAAAGCACACTCGTTTAGTAACAATTACGAGAACACGAGAAAACATAAGAAACATAAGCCATCTTGTCATGAAAACGTACATAGTTGGAATAGCTTACCTGGTATTATTGATTGTTTTTCCTGGTTTTTTATAGGGGGATGGGTGGTGGAAGCGAGGGGGATACAGTAATATTTCTGTTTATTTCATTTTAGTCTGTGGAGCACAGGGGTCCATGTTGCTGAAAATGTTTCTGCACCTATCCAGATGTCAGGATGCCTAAAGGATTCGTTTCCCTTATCCACTCTATTGTCTGAAGGTGGCGAATGCTCACATTTTCCTCCCCGTCGCTCAACTGCTACGAAAAAGGTTTAAGCAGAGTTACAACAAGAATGAGCAAAAGTTTAACGTGGTGTCTGAAGTGCGAATTTCCCCTCAACGGATGTGCTCACATCCACCGAGCATAATTATCTCCGTCGCCATTACCACTCCTCCACGTGATGATTATATAATAGTAAATTAGAATCATGTTGTAGCTAATTTACAGATATAGAAAAGTTTCGGGGTTTTTTCTTGTATTTCATTACCCCCAGAAAGGAGTTAAAAGTTTATGGAATTACTGAGATAGCAGTGTCACTAGTATAGTAAGGACTGTTTATGGAATATTCTTTATCCAAATTATTTTACTGTCACGTTGTTGAATGGCTCGATGTAGAAAATCCTTATACCTGTCATTTGAAGTCGATTTCCATTCATCGAAAGGTGTGCTAATCATCCCACGATTTTAAGGAGGGCTTGAGAACATACTAATCTTCAAAGAAGTGATAGGCACTAAATTGCGTAACAGACTCTCTGCGATATTTTAGATAATCTTAATTGAGTACAAAATAGTCCATTTTTTGGTGGTGTTTGAGTAAATTTTGCTTCAGCTCCATTCAATTGAGAGATTTATAAAAGAAAACTTCGTGAACGAATTTTTTTTTACGCTTCTCCTTGTTTAATACACAAACGCCAGACTAAACCATGGGCACGCAAGGCGTGCAAGGGTTATTTTTTTTTGTGAACAACTGAAAAGTCTCTGAGATAGGAGCATTCATGGACCTGTTTACAGTAATGATTTGGTTCATTTGACAAGTTTTTTTGGTTGCGATGTACAGCAAGAGAGAAACTGGGAATTTATGATGTACATACGATGTTACATCGGTCATGGTAACATAACTTAGTAAGCCATAAAATGTTTGACTGAGCAAACTACAGTAATCTGACACGTCTCCAGAGTAATATAGATTCCATCTTATTTTCTATCAGGCAATTTGATTCGTTCTTTGATACAAACCACACTGTGCCGGCTCTATGTCCCTTGCAAGAAAAAAGTTGTAAGCTTCAATATGATATAGGAGTTAAAGTATGCACAGTTTAAACCGGCCGTGCTACTTCGATTGGACGTGAGACACCTCTAATCGTATACGGTAACCTTAATATCCCCATTACATTTGCAATGTGTATACCAAGGTGCATTTCTCTCAGAGTTTATTCCATCAATCACATTTATCTGACTTTGCGTGGGAACACACAAAGTTCTCCTCAGATGTATGATGTATGATGTATGACACACAACTTCTCTCCAAATTACTCTGCATTTCTATGTAAAATGAATGGTACATTTGGAGAAAGAGAAATCGCAAAAACATCTCATGCAGTTAAGAAAAACATATTCAGTTGCAAAGAACCCTAAGGACCAGAAAAGGAGCAAATAACCTCTTTAAACCTAAGATATGTTGTTTAGAGTCTAGACACAGTGCAGCTCATTTTTACTCAACTCCAACTCAACTCAACTCCTGCGTTAGGAACTTGTTCCTTATTAACAGAGAGCTTTACGTTACCCTGTTCAGTTTGTTCAACACCACTCATATTTAATTCTGATAAAGTCGCTACCTCGGCGGCATTTAACGTGCACCTGATGAACTCTGAAGGAGCCGAGTCAACTGAGCTGCTCGTGTGTACCCGTGAAAGGTTCATTGCTTAACGAGTGTTCCAGCGACAACAGAAAACAGCTTTGAGGGACTTCGTATTCGGCTCGAAAATGCTTCATGACGGTACCGTAAACAAGCGGATTTAGACAGCTGTGAAGAACAGCAAAAATTTCCGAAATAATGAGCATTCTAAACAAGACCTGCGCCTTGCTTGGGCTGTTTTTACCAAAGTAATAGTAAAGGAATGCTAGATGTTTGGGAAACATGCACACGGCAAATATTATGACAATTGACGCTATGGTCCCCACAACTTGAATGTTTTCCCGTCGTCTTGCTTTAGATAGTACTCTGGGTTGCTTGGAATGTTTTCGACCTTTTGATTGGCTTGGTGATAAGCCAATTCGTACGTAGGCAAAAGCTATGATGGATAATGGAAGGAGATTATGAACAACGAACATGAAAAGCTTGAATACTTTCTTGGCTTGCAAAGAGGTCCAAGCGTCGTAGCACATCCCATTTGGCGTTACGTCGGCGAATACCATGGCTGGGAGGATACAAATAAAAGAAAGTAGCCATAGGAGAGAGATCCAGATGTAAATACTCCTTTGGTGCAATTCGGATGCGCAAGGATTCACAATCACTCTGCTGCGATGAACGGCTATGGACGTGATGTTGAAGATACTAGAGAGGTATGTGACCGTGATCAAAGGCCATATCAATTGACAGAATGTCTTGGGCGCCTTAAATTGTCCCATTGAGTGTGCAAAGAACATCGGGAAGTATATCAGGATGAGCATGAGATCAGATACTGCCAGATTGAAAATAAAGATGTCGTGAAAAGATCCAGTAGATCTCTTTCCCGCCCCAACTACCACCACGAGTGCATTGCCAAACAATCCGAGAAAGAAAATACTGAAGTAAAGTGCTGCATGCACATGTGGGTGGATGAGGTAATAAACTGACGGGTTGGAGGTCGTAGAGTTGCTTGTAATATTCATGGCTTTGGGTCAATCTCTGCCATTGGCTTTGAAATTTTGTTCTCAGGTCCCTAGAGATAAAAATGATAACCCTGTTAAGATAACTGCATTTTGACATGACACGACGCGACAAATTACATGACATATGATACCTGTGATGTGTGCAAAAAAAAACCAACATGCGGAACTACTAGTGATAAGAAAATGGAACCATGCCACCGGACTGATCAATAGCTATGCTTTGCTGCATGTAATGTTAACGCTGTTTTTACCGCAGTGTCCTTATGTAATGACCATACAAACTACTCAAAGGTGCTATGCGTGTTTATAATTGACTTCTGAGACCTGGAATGAACTGCGCTCACAAAACCTTTTAAAAGCTGTCTTTGTGATCAAAAGGAAAATAATGTATATATTAACGGGTTTTCAACGGGTTAAGGAAATGTAAAGCCTACTCTGGGGCCTTAAGTCGCCTAAAGTCGCCTTAAGTCACCCTAAGTCGCCTTAAGTCGCCTCGTCGCCCTAAGTCGCCTAAAGTCACCTTAAGTCGCTATCGGTTACGCAATGTTAACAAGGTTTCAACACGCTCAAATTGCCCCTGTAGACGGTTATTAGACTTATAACTGTCATGTTAGGGTAAACTCCACTCTAACCCTATGGAGGAGGAGGCACGATGGCCCAATGGTTGGTGCAATGGACCCTATTGTGGATCATTGCATTGTGTTTGTACTCTCATAGTGCCTCTCCTCACCCAGATGTATAAATGGGTACTGGTTACGGAACAGGGGGGGCAAGGTGCAGCAGAGGTAACCTCAATACGTGTGCTTTTAATTCTTTTTTAACACTCGTTCCCAATGCATTCGAGCCATCTAAAACTCCCCTTAAAGGGCCCTAGTCAGCCACACCTTTGTTTTTGTTTACAAACAAGAATTTGGCTTTTATGTTTTCAGACCATGTCAAAGGAAAGAAAATCACTGCAAAGCTACTAAAGATAAAGGGACATACTTTCAGGAACACAACTTAGAGTAAAGCAAGTACAAGACTTCGCCTCACCATGCAATATCAATAATTTTGATGGCATCGAAAATAGCA